TCCCTAACGCGCAGCCTGATTATGCGATCTGATTGTAAGATTGGGAACGGTCTGGCCTTCTCCATCTCGTCGCCCCCCTTGTGGGGCTTCATAGCCCCTAATCCCAGACCCCCGACGCTGTGAGTTTTTCACACAACGTCGACCCCCAGAGGTCTGCACCCCTTCCTGGGGATGGATTTTTCATCCCAATTGTTTTTTCAACAGTCCAGAGGCCGGGTAAGGGCCCCCGGAGGCCAGAACTAGTGAAAAACGTCCCGTCTTGATTTTCCACACGCGAGGGGGTCTGGGCAGGCGGTGCACGTGACAACGGGGCCGCTCCTAATGGAGCTTGATAGCCCCTGCCCCCTCCACAGCGCCTCCAGGACCTCCTGGGGAGCCCCTCTGGGGGCCGCCCTCGCTGTAGGCCTCCCTCCCGCCGCGGCAGGGAGGCCTTTTTGAGGGCCGACTCCGACTCCTGCCGTCGCTCCTCCAGCTCGAGCCCCGAGCCGCTCGGGGATGGATCGGCGTCGCCGGCGGCGGCGGCGGCGGCGTCCGCGGCTCGTGGGCCAGTGGTGCCTGTTCCTGGCCGCAGCCTCGAGCTCCCGGGGCGCTGGCGCAAGCGGCCCCGATCCGAGGGGCGTTCGCCGCTCGCCGTCATCTCCTGTCTTTGCGTCGAGTCGGGTGTGTCCCTCTGCAGGGGGAGTGTCCAACAATCCGACTGTGTTTGCTTTTTTATGCTCTGGCTTTTCGCCCAAGATCCGCCCGTAGGGGGGCGTGCCCGACCTGATCTTTGCGTGGCGCGTCCCTCCCGAGGCCCTGGGTCAGGGGCACTTCGCCCGCAGACTCGTGGAGGCTTTGGCTGGAAGCATTCTGGTCTTGCAGATGTTCGGGCCCGACCCGCCCAGAGCGCGTGGGCTCTGCTCCACCGCCCTACAGCTCGGGAAGGCTTGGGCGTCTACGCGCGAGGCTGCCTCTGGCCTGATGGCGCTCCTTCTCGCGGGCGCCTTACAGTCGGGGCCCACCGCGTGTAGAGCTCCCTGGGCGCCCTTGGCTGGCGCAAGGGGGCCGATCGGCGGGCCGTGGCGCCGCTGCCGGCGCCGTCGCTCGCCTTGTCTGCTGTCGCGCCTGGGGCGGCCGCGTTGTCACGTGCACCGCCTGTCTGGATCGGCCCGAGCGCCCATGCGCGTGCACAGCGACTCGGCTTCGCCCGGGCAGGTGAGGGGACGCCGCAGCCCCGTGCTGCGCTCCCCCAGGCGGCCAGTGAGGTCCACACTGCTTCTGCTACTCTTTCTGTCGCGTGGTCGTGTTACCCGTCCACTGTGCGCAGTAGTCCTTCCTCGATTGCGAGTGGGGCGGCACGCTGTTACCATTCTCCTAGGCGGTCAGCATCGCCGCCCTCCAAGCTGAACATTCTTTCTGAGCGCATCAGAGGTGCGCATCCTCCGAACCCGAAGTGGGTTGGCTCTGCGGACAGATGCTGGTGTGTCTAATGTTGCGGAGTGTGTGCCAGCTAGTATTTATTTTGGGTCATCTCAATTTGAGTGTGTTTGTGTGTGCGTGTTGTGTGTTTGCTTGTGTGTGTGCGCGTGTGCTTGTGTGTGTGCGTGTGTGTGTGTGTGTGTGTGTGCGTGTATGTGTGTGTGTGTGTGTGCGCGTGTGCGTTTGCGTGTGCGTGCGTGTGTGTGTGTGTGTGTGTTGTGTGTGTACGGCTTCTGCATTGCACTATGATTCATCCACTGCGCAGTCGTTTTGCTCCATACTCAGGCGCGGGAGCACTCTGCTCTTGGCGCGCGCCGCAGTCCACAGCACGAGTGTGGAAACGCTCGCCGTACATCATGCGCACCCACTTCGCCTGAACGAGAGATGTGGGCGTTCTCTCATGCGTCGCAGTGCCTTGACCCCCAATACCGAAGACGCCTACAGCGAACCACCGCCGCCCCCTGCCAGTTAGAAATGCCCATGCGGCCACATGTTAGGCCAAAGTCTGGGCCCCCTTGGGGGAGCATCTGTGAGAGAAACAGATATGAGAATTGGGGGAGGATAGTGAGGACGCGGGGGAGGAGGAGGGGGCGGAAAACTACGCCACGGGTGCGGAGTGCGCCCAG